CCCAAAGCCTGAAACGGCAATGATATTTCAAGCTACTTGACACCGACAATGTTGCCTTGAATCACGTGTTGTTAATGTACATGAAGGCAAACTGCGTAGGAGCGTCGTTTGCAGCTTGTATGACCTTGTTTTGTACTAAATTGTAGCGTGGGTGTAGAAAAATCTGTTGATTTTGACACGAATCTAATGAAGCAGCAGACTGGTTTTCGCCATTGCCCACATGAAGTAAACACCACAGCTGTAGTTGGTTAGAAGCTGGGGCATTCCGATTCCCTTCAATTAACCTATCTGAAAACATTTGCTGGAATGTAGAAAATACCGATCCGATGTGCTCATCTATATTGATTAGCTAAGTGAGTGATTTCTACGTTTAGCGCGGTAACTGTGGTTTTTGACAAATGCACTTTGAGCTTTACAATTCAATGATTTGGGTGAACAAGTGACTGTGAGTCCAGATGAGTTAAACGCGTTGAGGTCGAGGTACCTGCCCAGAAGTGTAGGTGTTGGCACAGGCAATGTTAACGTCGTCACAACGTGTCACGGTCGACAGATATTGGTTGAACCAAATTACGACAATAAACGTGTGAGTAAAAGCATCAAGGGCATCATCAGTTGCCATATCCGCGGTGCAGCAAGGCAGGCGTTAACCATGCTTTAGATGTGGAAATAATTACTGGTATTCTCAAGTAATTCGACGATTTAAACGTTGGTGTCAAACTTCGCAAAGTGTTTAAAATCATTCCTTACTAATTCATTGCAATCTTCTTATGTCGCGCCCTCTAACGAAGTTACGCAATAGTGTGCGTTAGTCTTATGCAGATATGTGGCAAGTCATTGCAATCGTGTAAGGCAAAAAAGCACACCTCACACCTATTCACAGATTGAAATCCAGTTGTGACGGATGGGAAGAAAACGACAGTAACCAAAGATTCACAACGGCGTTTCCTCGCTTCATTGGAACAGGCGAGTTGTGTGGCGTGAGTGGGCGTCGTGGATGGGAGACATTTGGTTGATCCAATTACGAGAAACAGCCTGCTCACATGGTGTGGTTGCGAATCAGTTAAAGACAACATGTGATCCACACAGTCAACTTGTGCGTCAGGTGTGCTGTTTTTGTTGTGGTGCGCCAAACGAGAAATCGGCAGAAATTTCGTCGGGCTTAATTGCGATGGGTACTCACTAACACGCACTGATAGTCAATATAGCCACCTCCATTTACCAATACGTTGGGAAATCGGTCTGAATAAATTAGAATATGCTCAATTCACAACGTGGACTTAAGTACCACCAACATTGAAGTTTTCTAGGAATAAATAGCGCGGAATATTGCTGGGTGATTATTAGCATTAGTGGCGATGTTGTCAAAATATTCACGTGAGCTTGTAAATCAGCGTCTGATTTTGTGCACATTTGAAGTAGTTTCTGGCAATGCCAAAGTAAATAATACCCTATGAATAATCTCTGCTTGTCAGACTATTTAGGAGAAGGACATTTTTGCTACCTTGCCTGCAAGACTTTGAATGAACGGGGAATTCTTTGTTGCGTATATGTGTTCAGTAGGCCTAGTGTGTCCATGTTTGTTGTCATTATCTTGTTTAATTTTCTACCTCAGTGCATTACAATACACTTATCAGCCCCTTTGGCACACCAGTGGAAGTCAGGAGACTTCATTTGTTTAACTCTCTTGGAGTTTAATTTATGCAATTAACATTTAGTCAACAAAATATTTTATGGATATTGCACGAGATACTTCGCAGATCTGGCTAATTGTTGACAGAACTGTTGCTTTATTTTCAATGTTTTCTTAAAAAAACTAATACTACGTTTCGTGCAGATGCTAACTGCCTCTGTTTCTTGCAATTTATTTACTTGGATCCAAGTCACACAACTTGTTTACTGTAGCTCTAGTCAAATGAGATTGTAACCATAATGTGGTCATTGTTTGCGTTGAATTCACGGGAATCAAGTAGTGTTCGAAATGCCACAGACACGGTAAACGTTTTGTTTTAAAAGAAAACACATGTCTTTAAGAAGTTATAATCTACAGCATTAAGTCTTGTGTGCAGAGGGACACTGATGATGCTGCGCATTGCGCTACCCGCAACCTGTCTTTTCGCAGGCCATTATATCCATGCTTTTATAGCATCCATTGATGAAACACACCTTAAGCAGTTAACAACGGGCAGCTGTTTCAGTGTTTGTTAGGGAGGTGCACTCAGATGTATCGGTATGCGGAATAGTGAATACAATTGTTAAACTATGCCAAAAATGCATTTCGTAGACAGATAAAATCATTCTCTAAATCCTGCAATGAGCATATACATAGTTTGAAGCAGTTGAGGGATATTTGCGATTTTATGTCGATTGTCTGTTGCTTGACAACTAACTAGAAATGAGTACGCCGACTCACCGAGACCTTGCTTGCCCATCGCTGTGAATTAGACAGGAATGGAAAAGGTGCTATCTTGATTACTAAGATGTAAGTCAAACTTTATTTATCTTAGCACAAACTACACATGTTCTTAATAGTGAGTTGTTTCCGTATTTGGTAGGAATGTGCACGATGTTGCATCGGTATGCGGAATAGTGGATACAATTGCTAAACTATGCCAAACTGCATGTCATGCAGATTGAATCATTTTTTATGTCCATCAATAAGCATATAAAAGTTTGAGACAGTTGAGAGAAATGTGTGATTTAATGTGGACTTTCTGTTCTTTGGCTACTTACTAGAAAATGGTAATGCTAACTTTTCAAAACTTTGCTTTCCCATTGCAATGAAATTGACAGGAGTGAAAACGGTGCTACCTTCATTACTCCGATAAAAGTCATTTTTTTACTAAACGCAATACACAAGCATTTTTAGTAAATAGGAGTGTTTTAAAACCGCTGTTGCATTTTGCTAGTGATGTTCATTCGAACGGCGACTGAAAATATTGAGCAAACGGCTAATTTTAACATGCTTTCCCATTGCAATGAAATTGACAGGAGTTAAAACGGTGCTACCTTCATTGCTGTGAGTTGTGATCGAAATTAAGACGTGTGCTCATTAGTGATGAAAAGAGCTTGAATGAACACCTCAGTAACTGTCAGGCGATAATTCCAGTGTAAATCTCTATAGAAAACTGTGCTTCATCCGCCAATGAATGAGGAGTTCATTTAGTCAAATGAAATAGGTTATGCGCAAGCAACTATTTGATCTACACACAATACATGCAACATCAGGGTTATTTGCACTTGTCGAAAATATTTGATGCAATTTGAAATTTATGTTTGACTTAAATGCAAAGCATAACAGAATGATGCAGAGTTGGTAAATGTTAGAACAATTGCGTGACGATCTGGTTTAGAACATCTTGAATGCGGTAGCAGTTTCAGCAACATGATAGTAAGATAATTTCGCGAATTGTGATCGAAATTAAGGCGTTTGCTCATTAGTTATGTGGAAAGTGTTTATGAACACCTCAGTAACTGTCAAGAGATAATTATCGCGTTCGGCCATCACCAATAGAGCCTTTGTAACTGATTCATCATTGGCCACATTGACTCTCACCTGCATTCACTAAACCAATTATCACGCTCACTACACATGTATAAATACCGGTGTGACTTAGCGTCATATCAGAACGTTGTTAACGAGCGGACGGGAATCAAGTGAGACTCTGCGGCTTGTCCACCTCGACAGATCGTCGCATTCTCGTCTGCGTTCTCTTTCCTTTCCATTCGCTGGAGCCTCGAGTACTAGCGATTTCGATGTTGACAGTTCAATGTAGAGTTGCCATCAGTTTTGCGTCCGCTGCGCCAGATCCAATGCCCAAACAGTCATCAGAATACAGCCTACAGACGACCAACACAACTGGATCCAAGAACTTTTGTAAAAGCAGCATCAATCCCAAATGCAATGCGGAATAGCATTTTTGCACAGGAAATTGTGCGCTTGCACTGGTTTTCTGTGATAAAACAAAAACCTGGCACATGACAACAACCATAAAAACATCTCACTACTTGCACCTGAAGTACATTCTCAAAGCCATGGGGCCGTCCAACGTCGCGTGCTTCACCACCTCACTAGGAAGCAGCAGCAGCAGTGACGCACACAAGTCTGAACCTCTCTACCACAAGAGCCGGGACGTGGCAATATACACATCCTGAGGTTTCGTGTACGAGGTAGGTCTTTGTGTTCAATCGATCAGACAGTCAAAGCCAGATGCTCAATTACAAAGAAGGCGACTCGTGTAGCTGACGGGAGCAAATCTGATGGTTTTTTCTACATTAACCACAAGGAATTCTTTTTGACAGTCAGCAAGAAGCACTTTGCCACCAATTTCAAGATGGATGTTGTTTGCATCACACCCCACATCCGCAAAACAATGCTCCACAGTGTCTCCAGTGGACCTTTATGTTCGCGTCGGCAACAGAGGTCGAGGCGTCTATGCGATCTTCGGGACAGCTAACATGAGGATGGGCAAGAAGAGGCAAAAGGCTGCAAATCGCGCCAATGCAAGAACCGTTGCTATCCTCAATAAGCCCAAGGTTGCCAAGGCAAAGAGCTTCAAGGTTGTTAGGTCGTAGAAGTTAGCAGTCCCTAAAAAGGCGGCCATCAAGCCTGAGGTCGCGAAGGCTATGAGTGTAAAGAAGGAAGCCGTCGATTCCATGATGTCCAAGATTAAGAAGGGCAAGAATTCATGAGCCGGGATTTCCGCAACTGGATCTGGGGACTTCCAATAAAATATCATCAATCGATAATGCAGTCCAAAAAACTGAACTTTCACAGGTCAGCGTATGTGTGCACTGATTTGCGGTGGCAATGGATTAAGAGAACACAACGCAACACCATGGAAACTCAGTACTTGTAGCCAAAGTACTTCGTTACGTCAGTTCTCTAGGATGCAGCAGCATCAACAAGGACGCGCAGGCGTTTTCTCCTCCCTGCTCTAAGCTGCTGAACTTAGCAACATACACCTACTCCAGCGTCGATTACGAGCAAGGTCATGATCACCAATGCCTTGCTCGAGATTCCGGTGTCGAGATAGACATGACGCACCACCGTATAGATGCAGATGGTATGACAATCTCTCCTATGCCTCTTCGTCGCCTTGGTCGTCTTCAGCAGATTCGCCATTAATGATGACTTTATCAGCCTGTTTTGGCACCTCCTTTGTAACTGCTACTAGTTACGGAGATGAGTGGAGTCATTAGCAGGTAAGTTGGCTTATGCTTACGTATTGATACATCTGTGTTGTAGTGTTAATTTCGTAAGTGATAGCAAAATTCCACTTCAATCTTGCCTCGCATTGCTGATTTGATACGTCTCTTTCTCCTCCTTCTCCTAATCCTCCTTCTACTCTGTTTTAGTCAATTAAAATCTTAAGGCACCACAGTTATTGGTAGACACTGCCGAGGCGGTTGTCGCATCGCATAGCTGTGTGATTAACACTCTTTATCTTAGACAAGATTGAGCTGTTGATTGCACAACCTACAGATTGGTGTTAATTTGTCATCCTATTACAAATACATGCGAAAAGCAGCCGCACTGGTTTCTGGGTTTAGTGTGTGTGGATGTTTCACTTGCTGGGTCAACATTTACAGCCTCAACGCTCAATATCCTCCCCCAACTACGACTACCCACTTCCATTGCTCTCAACTAAGGCTGTCAGTGTTTAATATTATGAAATCAAGATATTAGTTCGCCTTATTACTCGTAAGTGCTAAGTTATTTAGAGACAGTTCTTGTGTACTGTTAAAATTCAACAGGCCGTGTGAATACTAGCAGGACATCAGTGTGGACGAAATTTATTGGCACAAATCTGAGATTCGTAACAGTCCAAGTTGTATTGTTTTTGTTGTTCAGCCCACTTTGTTTTCTTCTAAATACTTGCTTAAAAAAATTAACTAAATGCGTTCTTGTTCCATTTAACAACGTTTTTAATATGAAATAGTCGACTTGCCTCAAACGTTGCATGACTTAATTTTGTATATTAACATGTGCTGCGAGGATTATCACTATCGATCTAGAACCGACAAAATCGTGATAAACCCTGATTGTGATTGTCAAGTGGCGAAGAAAGCAAAGCGTATTTACTTCTGTTTCAGAGAATTTTCCGCAATCAGAAATGTTAACGTATCTGCTAAGAGTGCAGCGGATAAAAGCAAACTGCAGCAGCAGCTGCAGCTACGACAAGCAAGCAAGTTGTAGGATATCACAAGCAGGAGTGGATTTCTTGATGTTGATAACTGCCTTCTATACAGTCACAGCCTTCGCGATATTGGATTTGATGGCTGTCTTCTTAGAAGTCGCTATCTTCTTCGACATGGCGACCTTCGGGCGCCATGTCTTGCATCCTTTGGCTTTTGAGGGATCGCGTAGGCTCTTGGCTTCTCGTTATTTGCAGCCTTTGGCTTTATCTCAGCCACTATCTTGTTAGTATTCTTGTAGCTCCGGATGTTCCTTGACCCTTGTTACCGTGGACGATTGCTTTGCACGTGTGAGGCTCGATGCGCGCAACATCCACCTCGAAATTGGCTGCTTACATTGTTATCATCATTCCAGTGTCACTGTAACCTAAATTTTAACCAATGAGCGATGCCATAGTTTGCCTTCTCTTAGTTTACCAACCAACATTGCTGTGTCAAGTCACTTTAAATACCACCGTTATTTTAGGCGTTCACTTGGATAATTAGTGATTTAAAATTAGTCTAATAAAATCACAAAATCGAGACAGTAGTAGTAAAAGTAATCTTGTCGATCAACTGATAATGCCATTGGTGCCACTGATTGTTTTCAGTTTGCCTTTAATCCGCAAGCGGCACTAAATTAAGTGTTCTGCTACACGATTGGTGGTGTTTAAATGAATGCTGAGATGATATGCGAAAGCAGACGTTTGCATGAACACGGTTGGAGAGGTAAATTAGGTGACACAAAATATGCCTGTTCCTGTAGTGGCCAGCATGGCATGTGTGTCGACCAGAGATTTCATGGTTCCGTACAAACACATTATCCAGTGTTGCACAAGTTGTAGAACTCTGTGATTAAAGCCAGCACGCGTTCAGGAGTGAACTTTGAAGGTCTACGTCGACGGACCGTAATGTCATTGTAAATCAACGGAATATCATCACAGTTAAAGAAACCGACTAGAGAGGACCTAAGTCTAATCCACATTGAGGCATCATTTTGATTTGAATGTAAGTTGCAACGTGGTAAACAAGAAAGGTTTGGAACTGGTTTTGCGTGGGTTCAATTAATCAACGGTTTTGATTTTATCCCAAGTCACGATTTTGCTGATTAAATGACGCAGACATTAAGTCTTAGAAAATTACCAAGAAGCTTTTAAAATTAACTCTAAAATATTTTCGACCCACATTTCTATACTATGAAAACATCGACACAGAAGTTACTGTCGATTGACCAGTAGGACCAGAGGTTCTTCTGAGGATTTAGGCAAAAATGTAAAATGTAAAAAAATTACAGAATAATCGATAAAATATTGGCTGCAAAATACTGGACAAATTAAAAAGCGTAAATTAGTAGAGATTTTAGCATAGTGCTCAAAATAGCAGATGTTTCAGGAATTAGGCTGATGCAATGTTTGTTTAAACGGACGTAGTGTTTTGCTTACTCGTAATCACCATAGTAAGTGGTGCGAGCGAGCTCTGATAACTAGTGGCTTAGTAGCTTAAAATTGCTCGACATTTTGCCTTTCTTTAATTCACAACAATTAGTTGCCCGACATTTTTAAAAACCGCTGATAGTAGAGTAGACCAGACTTCCCCAAATGTGCCATAAAGGCTGATTAGTGCATTGCGATGCACCAAGGCGGATAATCTAATAAGATATAGACAGCCTACTGAACACGTCCACGCAAGGAAGATAGTGCAAAGTGCTGTTGTTTATTATGCGAAACTTACTGCCAGAAATCTATCAAAATCAACCACACTTTTGCTAAAAGTACAGCTGCCGAGTTTGCCTCTTGTCGGCAATGGCAAAAACAAGTCAGCAAGGCAAGTTCACATTTAAGTAGCAAATTCTCTTCCCAGTACTGTTTGTTCCCTTAGCGGCAATTGACAACATTTTCTCTTAAACTTCTCACGTAGTTTGCCAAAGATGCTGACCTAAGGTGTGCCATAGTCCATTGCACCGCGATCTGACAAATTGGAGTCT